AAAAGCCTTCATTCATCGACGCATGGCTTTTGGGGTCGACACATACTGTTCTGTCAGAAATATTTTCTGCGATTTCACTGCGTTTTCACTACGGTTTCTATACTTTAGGCCCTAAAAACATCCTCTAATCATAGATAATCATCAATTATAACTATCCTATAATTCTACATCAAATATATAACATCAGGGCATCATTATTCATCTTTCAATCATCGATTCTCATCATACAACAATATATACATTCAAATCATGAACAAGACAACATTTTCACATCTAATCCCATAAACCAATCATTATAAACCCTATTATAGAGTCAGAACCCCGCCCTTACCTTAGATTGAAGGTTGCTATATAACTTTTCCGGTTGATTTTTGTTCTGCCTCTTTTCCTCCTTTCCAACAACTTTCACGTTCTATTCTTCCAACCGTTATTTCTTTCTCTCTTACTGCTTCTTCTTTTCTTATTATTTCTAACAATAATAAAATAACCCTATAATTCTCTTTATGCCTTAATGAGCTTAAAACTCCTACACCCCCTTTTACTACTTCTATTCCTTTAAAACAAGCCCACGTAAAATAATATTATCATTATAATATTATCCCACAACTTAATAAAATAAATAAATCCAACTAATCACAACACATCAATTATCATCATAACGCAACTTCACAAATATTCCAAAAATAATTTAATTAAATAATTAATTAAATTACGGGCGTTACAATAATCTCTAGAAACTCTTGACTAAGACCACAACTTGGAGTTGCTTCAAAGCTTCCTCCAAGAAAAATACTCAACTCATTACTTTACAACTTCTGAGCGAGAACAACAATGACCATCTCACAACCCGAGTGGTTCACTTACACCAACTCTCCTAGAGAATGGAAAAAATACAAAGCCCTAGACTTCTACATCCTGAACTCGTGCCTTTGCTAGGTTATAAAGACTTCTATTTATAACCTATACCCAACAACAACAACAAGTGCAATGTCAAGAGCAAAAGCAAAATCCTCTGGCTATTGTTGCAGACAATGATCTTCCTGAGATTTCTCTCTTTACTTCGGTTGTTTCTTTGGAAGTTCTCTGTGAATCCATTATGGATTTTAACAACTTAAAAGCAAATGAGGTTGATCTCACTGGTGATGTTAAGACTCAAGAATGATAAGCCTTCTTAAACCGGTTAACATGACCAATTTATTCTTCTCTTGTAAAGCAGTCCAGGATTCATGAAAAAGCGTCAGAATATCAGATCATGCATATCTCAAGTTATGAACAAGAAAATTCAAATCTTAGAAAAATCTAATGTTAAACTCATTGGTTTCGAGGGAAATGTCAAAAGATGTTTTAGAAGAATCACTAAGCATCATTATAGCAAGAAAATGACTGATACTCTCTCCAAATGAGATAGTAACGCATCCTCAACAAAACTCCTGACTCCGAAGCAAAGGATCAAGGAAAAGATCATTTTAAGTTGCATTCATCCACGAAAAGATGGAAACTCTCCAGACTATGTCAATTGGGATCAAAAATTTATGTTGTACTATTTGGAAGAAGGGATAAAATTGGATTTCTATGCTATGTTATTCAGATACTTGAGGGACTCGATAAAGGAAACCAGATCTAGAAGTACCAAAACTAAGAATTTGATTCCTTTTGATAGACTCATTTCAAACATTCTTGTAGAAATTAAGATGGCAGATGATCCTTCAAATATGTCTGTTGAGTTTCACACCATTATTGAAAAACCTATAAATGGAAAAACTCTAAACCACACGCATATCTTGAACAATCCAGTGGATGTTGAAGTTTTGGACATAAAGTCTATCTCTACCAGAAGAGTACCTGTTGAAAACTTTCCTCTGTATTATACAGAAGAATCTTTATATGTGCTGACTAAATATGTCAAAACACGTGAAGAAAATGATTTTGACCCTTAAGATGTTGCACGGCCTGTTAATTGTCCCGATTCTCCCTTTGAACCAAGTGTAAAGTCAAAGAAGATAAAGATCAAGAAGAAACACTCCGAAGAAGAAAGTCCTAAGAAAACAAAGAAGGTCAAGATGTCAGAAGCCCCTGAGAATGTTTTAAAGTCTTCTGGTGAAAATTTGAAAGATGCTGAAGGCTTTAGCAAGGCAAAAGAGCATGCTGAAAATTCTTTACAACACAACATGGATAATGTTGAAGATTCTACATTTATTCCTTCTCATACCAAGAACTCTGAGATTCTTGGATCCTCGACTGAGGTTGATACTGCTAAAGGAAACAATGTTGTTGAAGAACAAATTCCTAAAGAGCGTGTGTCTAAGGAACCTACTACTGAAGATCATGTGTCTGGAAAATTCTTTGTTGAAAAATACACTGTTGAAGGTTTGGGTTCTCAGAATATGGGTTCTGAATCTTCCGAAGTTACTTTCAATCAAGATCTCTGTAAGTTCTTTAATACTATAACTTTCCCTCATCTTTGTTTTACTAATACTACTGCTTCATCAATAGTTTTCCCATATTATCAAATGTCCCTTCCAAATAAAATTGTTGGCACCATATCTAAGCCACCCAAAGTATGTAAGACAATTCAAAAGCCAGAAACCACAACATCTCCTGAAAATCCTTCTGAAACATTTGAACCAGAAGTAACCCAAGTAACTTAAACTTTAAAATAACCCACTCATCAACCACCTTCTTCCTCTGAACTCACTCTTTCTGAACATTCACCTACCACCGAAACTTCACCTTTAAATACCTCACCTCCTACCTCAAATCAAATTGGCATACCTATTATCACCAGCCTTGATGAATCTCATCAAGAAACCCATGTTGCTCCTGCTGATTCTGCAAAAAGTGAAAAGGAACTTGTCAATAATGAGAACCTATTTGTAGTTAACATTAGCTCATCTAATCCTGAGTCTGAAACCACTTCTCCTATAAATTCCTCTGACCAAGACTCACCTGACCAAATTCCTCAACCACCCTTCTTTGATGAAGCATTATTGTTAATATAATTAAAGTTTGGTGAGAGTTTACACTCTATGAGATAGACTGTCACAAACTGTGTTCAACCTGTTGAAAGTGATGCATTGTGGGATCAGTTTAAAGATTGACTTGTTCACTGCTGCAAAATTCTTAAGATATGTCCTATGAAGAAGTCTTAAAGAAATTCGTAGCCAGATTCTATGAGTCTCTGAAAATTGCTATGGATTTTCAAATGTTTATTGTTGAGTTGAAGTCACAACATAAGCCTTCGGCAGTCCCTGCACAAGAACCTGCTCCTGCTCCTGAAGACATTATGTCAGTAGTTCAAACTGAAGTTGAAGTTTATCCAGAACCAAATTTATCTCTACAGCTCATAATTGGAACCTCCTATGGAATCTCTACCTTTGTATCTATTGTTGCTGAAGATGCTTCTTTAAATGTTAAGAAGACTCTAGAGAGTTAAAGAAGGAAAATGCTGAAGTAAAGCTTGGATGACTCGTTAGGAGGAAACAAACTTTGTTATTCAGAATTTATTGACCACCATTGTCTCCTTTTTAGTGCGGAGCGAGATAAGATTTTAGATCTGCACCATCAACTATATCTAACTCACCCTATCCCACCCCAACAAAATAAGAGTTTAGACCTGCACCATCAACTATATCCGTCAGTTCCATCCCATTCCGTCCTATTTTTTTATAGGACGAACATACTCATTTATCATACCTAATGTCAAAGAAATTTTAATTTTAAAATCTTATTTATGTTTTTCCTTCCTATAACTTTGCAAACAAAAGAAAAAGTACACCTCAAACATTCAATGATCAAAATAGTTATTTACTTCCCTTTCCTTAGCTAAGAGTCACGAGAGCCGTATGATTTAAATTTCGTATCAAGGTAAAAAAAAACATATTAAAGTTGTGATGGAAACATGTATGTAACGAAAAAAGCAACATAGTTGATGCATATTGCAAAGAGTAATTTTATTTTGACACTAAACACCTACATTGTAATTACTGTTCATAAATACAATAAATAATAACTTTTTTATTTTAATTTTTTTTATAATTTTTACACTAAAACAACTTTAGTTAATAATATATAAAAATTTGATTAATATAGTTCAAAATTTAATTAATATATATTCTGACATAAAAAATTAATATATCTTTTAAATTTTAATTAATAGTTTATATAAAATTGGTTAATACAGTTCATATTATATATTTAATATTTAAAATATAATTAATACTATATATTTTATTAGTTAATAAAATAATATAATGATTAATAAATTATAAATTAAATAAATTATTAATAACATATATTCTTGTGATTAATATAATCATGAAGTTAGTTATTAAAATAATTATATATTTGTATTATAAAATAAAATTTTAAAATAAATATTAAAATAAATATATTTAAAAAATAATAATATATATTTTTTAATATATTATTTTAATAAAAATATATTGTTGAACACATAAATACGATAAAAAGTAAATAGGATAACAAATTAGGATGTAAAGGGTGGTCATCTATTGCAAAGACTACAGTAGTATAGATTTCTACATTTTGATATACATTATTTCATAGAAATTAAAAAGTAAAAACCTTTATGAAGACGGTCAAGAAAAGTACAAGCGGGTTTTCCGGTACAAGGACGAATAACCAAAAGCTTATCTAACACGTGGAGCCCCACTGTCCGTTAGATGGTCAACCCATAATTCTGAAGTAAACTGTAGAGAATAGATTTTCATGTCCCCCACACGCACTCTCTTTCTCCATCTTCCCACACTCAAAATCATATCATAATTAATCAGACACACACAAAAAAGATAAAACCACTCTCAAAATTCTGCACACTACTTTTACTACAGTAAAGTAACTAGAAACACAAAACCAGGCACATAAACAGTAGAGTTGATGGCTGCAGTTACTATTGATGGCGTTGCAGACAAACTCATTCCGTCCCATATTTAAGATCGTACAGTTCTTCTCAACAAAAGCTGCAAAAATTTCTACTATGGATGATACTGCAACAAATGTCTAGGTTATTTTCTCTAGGTCAAAAACAACACAGTGAAGAGATCTATAGCAAAGGGATAGAGATATGGCCACAACCACAACAAGACTTGAAGAACTACAGTGTGTTTGGAGTGGTTCCTAAAACCTTTTCATTTGATGAGTGTGGAAGAAGATTCATGATGATGAGACGCAATGGAGGAATGAACTGTCAAGACTGTGGGAATCAAGCGAAGAAAGACTGTACACATCTAAGATGCAGAACTTGTTGTAAGAGTCGAGGATTTCAGTGTCAAACTCATGTGAAGAGTACTTGGGTTCCAGCTTCTAAACGCCGTGAACGACAGCAACATCTATCTTTGTTGCAACATCAACAACCGTTTCGTCGTAGAGATCGTGGAGATAATTTTAAACAAAATATACACAATCAAGATGGTGCAGGTTCTTCTCTTCCATGTCCTCAACCACCTAACCCTACCACAGGTAATAATTGTATTGTAATTGTAATGTCATTTCATAAGATAAGATAAGATATCACTTTAATATATAGTTATGTAGATTTAAATCCTTGCTTCAATTTAATATATAGCTATATATGCATGGAGGAAGTGTATACATGTCACAGTTTTTTGTGTCCCTAGCTATCACTGTTTTTGAGTAAAACTGACGAACTCAAATTATTGATTTATATTAGATAATGATTCTTTTTGTTTTTTGGGTTTCTTTAATAATAATTGGAAAAGTAGAGGTAACTTTTGATGAATGAATGAGTGTTTTTTTATTGAGTGATTTTGTTGATGATTGTTTAGGGTTTGAGTTGGGACAGTTTCCAGCTGAAGTGAGTTCTGCATCAGTAACGTTTAGGTGTGTGAGAGTGAGTTCAGTGGACGGTCCAGATGAGCAATGTGCGTATCAAACGGCTGTGAACATAGGAGGACATGTTTTCAAAGGAGTTTTATATGATCAAGGTCCTTCTCCTCCTTCAAGTTTTTACACCAGTAGTACTATTGCTGCACCTATTGAAGGTTCTTCCGGTGGAGGTCATCATCAACCTCAACAACCTCAACAACTTGATTTCTTAACAACTGCGCATGTATCCGCAACCGCAACCACTGGTATCTCGTTTGATCCTTCTCTTTACTCAGCTCCGCTACACGCTTTCATGGCCGGTACACAATTTTTCCATCCACAACATCGTAATTAATGAGGGAAATTCTACCTATATACTTAAATCACATATAGTTGGATTGGAACTTATCTTGTTTACATTTCTCAATTTTTGTTACGAGACTCTTGTTAATTAAGACTTTAGGGCTAGTGATTCTGGTTGTTGTTAACTTGATAATCTTATGTATCTAGAAGGAAAAGTTGTTAAGAATTAATGATTTTGGTGGTGCATGAAAATGAACAGGACAGAGATCAGTGTTTGTCACCGAATGTTAATTCTAATTATCATGCTTGTTAAGTGTTTTCCTTGACACAGACAGCAAGTGGATACAATGTTTTAGATAATGGTTGCAGACAATTGCATAAAGACTTCCGCGGTTTCGATCAGCTACAATATTGATTGTGATTGTCGAAGGGTGAATTAATTACAATTTTTTTTTCATTATAAAATAACTAACGGTATTGATTTTCACACCTTCCGGTAGTAATATTTTTAGAACTTAAGATATTTATCATCATATATATGTATGCAATGCTGATTTACCATGCATGTTGACATTTTGCATTAGATGATAACATAGTTTTAAATTGCAGACTGTGTCATGTAATCTGGCCGCATTGCTGCGGTAGTGTTAGTATCTGCATTAGACCTCAATTGTGATGATATCAAAAATCATGTTAAAAACTGCATCATAATACTGCAACAATCACAGTAGATTATGCATTGCCCACAAAAATTACTTGTTCAAAATGATGAAGAATTTGATGATGAGATATATATGAAAATTTAGAGAAGAAATGAAAGGCATGTAAAATATAAAATAAGTAAGAAAAGTTAAATATTTTATATTTATTAGTTCATAAAAAAAATTTATGTTACAACGATCGCAATCAGTATCTCAACTGTCCAAGAGCAGTCACAACTATCTAATAGCTGCAATCGCACCCGTATTTCAAAACCACCCAGATAATATTAGATGATCCAGACAAGATTGTTTAAATTCTTTGCACAATGGTCCATCTTGTTCTTTGTCTTGTCTCCATGCAATGCCATGCCAATTGGCAACAGCTCCGAATTCATCGCTTCATTTAAGTTCAGTCTCTAAATTAAAGCAGAAAACCACTGGATAGTTATGGCTGATACACACTTTCTACACCTTTTATCCTTCTCTTTTGATACATATAAATGGAGAACTAAAGCTAGCATTTACACCAACTACTTCTCTGAAAACCCAATAAAATTAGCCACTTGAATAGACATCCATGATCTGCGGATGTCACCTCCACATGCTTGAGTTGGAAAAGTTTTTTTTCTTTGCTTCATAATGTTTAATGCTTCTAAAAGTATGTGCACGATATATACATAATGCTTCTATAAGTATACACTTCGCGCCACCAATGATATAGGTTAAGGTACATACCATCCAATAGGGCTAATCATAAACTATCATAGATTACTTGTTTTAGTGCACAAGGAAGAATCAGAACCTCTACCAAAAATTTCCATTGATTTGTAATAACTGGCCCATTACATGTGCTATGTGCTACACTATAGAATTACAACCTTCATTTGATAGTGACATACCACTCTCTTTCTCTTTCATATCCATGCTTTTGTTTTGTAATAGTAACTTCTTATTTCAATCTTGATGATTATACATTTATATGAAACAAAGATTGAAGTTGACTTGATTTTTTATATACTTTGTGGAGGACATATGTAGATAGGGAATGGAAAAGGAGTTAAATCTATAATTGTAGGTTAAGTCTAGTCACTTCTGTTTGCCACATGCATCGAGAGAATAGAAAGAGAATAAATCTAGATTCAGAAATCGTAGTTCAATACTTGGGTGAAGCTGAAAACAATTGAATAATTATTCAGGGATGTTGGTTGTGACTTGTGATGCTTTCAAGAATAAAAAATATGAGATACACTTTTCTAGTTTTCTTTATGTGGCATGATAGTTTGGCCTAACTTTATTTAAAAATATTTTTAATAATGACACTTTTGTATTAATTAGTTCAAAAAATATTTTTTCAAATGATTAGATGTACAGGTATAGTTTTTCTTTTTAGAAATTTCTCATTTAGCATAATGACACTTATAATTAGTTCCATTTTATTTTATATCATTTATTTTTGATATTTTTGGTTTCTTGTTACGAGAAGTAGTTTTTTTTTATTTTTTATAAAGAGTTCAAAGACTTATAAATAGTAATATTATATCTCCTAGGTTTATAGATATAGTTTTTAAAAGAATTGATTTTGAGATTCAAAAAAAATGTAAGGGTGCAACTTGTAACACCTCAATTTCGTTGGAATTATTTTATTTAAAATAATTCCATGATGAGATGTATTTATATGTATTGGTAAATCTGGAGTTGTGTTGTTGTGCATTTGTTAGGAAATTATATGTCTTAGAAATAATTGGAGTTAAGGGATAGGAGTGTATGACCAAAATTATAGAAACATAAGGGTGTGAAAAGAGGAATAATTTACTAGTATTATTATATTTATAATATTAGAGTACTTATTCTTATAGTATAATAATTAAATAAGTTATTCTAATAAGAAGAAGAAGGGTGTAATTGGAATAGTGATTTAGGGGTCCAAGGAATAGATAAGTCAAAACAAGAGGAATATAATAGCAAGTTGTTTTGGTCGATCGTGAAAATGAGAGAAAGGTAGAAGCGAGAAAGAGGAAGAGGTAGGAAGGGAAGACTCATTGTTGAAGCTTGAAGAATCTACAAATTAAAGTAAGAGCGAAGTTTCAACTCTCTAATAGATGGTATAATTGTGGGTAGATGAATATATGAATGTTAGGATTTTGAGTGTAGATGTTTTTGTTAAAACAATTGTTATAATTGATTGAAGTTGGTGAAATTGATGTGATGATCTGATTAGAATTATTATGTATAATGTGTGTTGATGATCACATGAATCTACATGTTTCAGTGTGTGTATAAAAGTAATTTTGGGCGAAAAAGGTTAAAATTTCGTAACAGGAAAAATAGCCGATTTTTTACTCTGTACGCAGTGTAACCAGGTACAATATATGGGGTAACCGGTTACTCAACTGGACAGTAGCTTGTATTTTTTAGTTTCAGGAGTGCAATCGGTTACTCCATATGCAGTAACCGGTTACCACTGAAGCTGACAGACTTTTACAAACTTTGAAAGTTAATAACTTTTGACTCGGGTGTTCGTTTGACGCACCGTTTGGACCGTTGGAAAGCTAAAAATATTTTCTACAATATAATAATAATTTTAATAACAGTAGGTGAATTATTTAGGGTTGGAGACTTATGTCTTAAGTGTCAGTGGTAGATAGATTGAGGGGTATTCATGATAACTGAACATGATAAATTTTGTGAATGTGTACGAATGGACAACAAATTATATTGATGGATAATTATGATGTTATTGGAATGGATTGGTGTAAGATTGAGAGCTTATGCTCTATTGTTTCACAATTAATGTTGATTGCATAGTGATGAGGATGATGTCGTTGGCCCAGATTGGTTTATATGTTGAAGCATATTTCTTTATAGTTGTATAATCTTGTTGTTGCATGTCAGTGTCACGTACATGCATCATTGACAGACCGAATTTGGCTTATGTTGTTGGTCCGAATTTGGCTGTATGTTGATAGCCTGAATTTGGCTTATGTTGTTGGCCCGAATTTAGTCGTATGTTGATAGCCCAATTTTGGCTTTATGGAGAGCGCTTATTCCCTGATGGTACCACATGCATCGTGCATCAACGTCATTTGTATTGCATTTTGACTGAATTGTTGATGTAATTGATGATTGTTGAGCTTGAACTCTTGTATAATATATTTGTCGTATACTTATGATTATATAACTTATTATATTGTTGTGATATCTCACCATTTTTGTTTGAATATTGTCTCTACGTGGGTAACGTGCAGATAATCAGGAGTAGTCTGAGTTGCCGAGTCTAGAAGAGGTTGCTCTTCTTATCCTTGAGTTTGCGTCAGTGCTTTGATACGTAACATCGAGGGGGGATGAACACTTGCTTATTTCGTTATTTCGTTGTTTTATTTTGGTGATTATGTTGAAGTATTATAAACTCTCTTTTGTTTGGTTAAATGTTTTTTGATGTTGGTTGAGGAAGTTTTAATGACAAACTTGAATTCTTTCTGTTGCATTAATAAAGTTGAAATTGAGAACTATGTTGAAAAGTGTTATCGGTTCATCCGAAAAATGTGTTATGTATCAATTTAACTATGCACGAGTAGATTTTTGATATGTTGTAAAATGTGGCATCCTATTCTTGATGTTTCTTTTATGAGTTAATTTACTCTAATTTTATTAAATTACTGTTGGGGAAATAGGATGTTACATTAGTGGTATCAGCGTAGGTCGGTCCATCCGGCCAGGTTCTCTAGTCAGTAGTATAGTGTGACAGTTGAATACCGTCGATGTGTTTCTTCTAACTATTGTTTGATGTTATGGTGTGAACCAGAGTAATGGCTGGAAGGAACAATACTGCACTTACTGCTACTTTGCAGGCTTTGGCTCAGGTTGTGCAACATTAGCCTAACGTTGGTGGGAATGATGGATCCCGCGTCTTGGAAACCTTCCCGAGGAACCATCCACCTACGTTCAAGGGTAAGTGTGATCGGTGGAAATAGAACTGACTGTTTTTAAAGCTGGTTCGCGAAATGTCGCGGTAAGCAAGAGTCGCCACTGTCTTTTATGTTCTCCAACATGGAAAGGACAAAAGCACAACAAAATTCCTTTTTCGAGATGTCTCTCGGTTCGGGAGGTAGATTTATAGAAAGGGAAGGTGTTAGCACCCTTTCTATCTGTGGTTATCCACGGGCTCTTAGGTACTTGCTCACTATGTTTTCAAAAATTGTTTGCTTTTCAAGTGTTTGTGGGTTTTGAAAAAAGTTTGTTTTGAAAACTTCTAGGTAACTCTTGTATCAGGCCTCAAGAGTGTATGAAGTATTTGTTTGAAAACTTTTTGAAAGTGTATGTGCGAAAAGTTTGTTTTGTTTTTGAAAAGAGA